TGGCAAGAGTCCATCTTTCAATCAAGCCCATGGAATGCCACCACAGCCATGGGTTATTCATGTCTGCAGACCAGAGAACTGTCTGTAATTACACGATAGCTAGTGGAGAATTATCTACCACACTCTTTGAAACGGGGAGACTCTTTCCTGGAAATTCCTTGATCTACACTAACCAGCAGAGAAACTGATGGGACCCAGTGGAGCAAACCAGGGTTTGGGAACTTGACCATAGGTTACATTGGCTTCTAGGAGAAGATGATGTTCCTACAATGTGGTCTGGGCTCTTTAAGAAGGAGAAAAAAAATTACACAGGACCTCCCCCCTCCCAAAAAAGACACAGCAACACAAACTGTCCAAAAATGCCAGGAATGTAAGTTTTGCCAACCAAATAAATAAAATGAAGGCTATTTTATAATAACGAAACATGATGCATTTCTCAATCGTGCATCATGGAAAAAACTAGTTCTCCATCAACCCTGAAAATGTCCCCCTCATCCACACACTCAGTGGACTTCCTGCTCTGAGGTAACAATGTCAGTCTGTATTGCCCAAGATAACTGACCAACCCCTGGCCTGTCAGCCCTCAAGATACTCAAAATTATCTGCTCACCACGCTTGCTTTCTGGAGCAAGCATGAATCTTGGTTGGCACAAGGTCTCAGTGAAGCAAGCAAGTCTTAAGTTTCTCCTCTGTGCACTCTCAAACAATAGATTTGGGCAGTGCATGTGATGTAGCCACAATACCTCCCTATCAAACCTTTCAAGGGTGCCACTGAAAGTCCTGTTATTGATCAGGGTCATCTTTATTGATATGCCTTTGAATGGACTCTTCAGCAGAATCCATGACAGTGCTGTGTTAAGATTTTGCACAAATTCATGTGTTCACATTGAGTAATATTACACTTGCACAAACTAGAATACAGAGATGTTAAGTAATTTACCCCAAGTCAACACAGTAACTAAGTGATCACCTGGTCTGACTCTAGAGTCCCTGCTCTGAACCACAGGAGTCTTTCTTTTGTCACAAACAGAGCATGGTCAGTGGGGATCAGGGCACACAGTGAGCAAGTAATCCTGACAGGCCTGGCAGCTCAATCCTTTCATGTCTACACTGAGAAAGGACAAAGGTTTGTTCCCTTGCTAAAGGCAATAAAGATCTCCATTGGAAGAACCAACTCTGCTAGAGTGGGATGGGGTTTAGGGATGGATGGCCCTTTTAGTCTCATTAATGGATAAAAGTCCAGAATTAGAACTTAGAGCGCTGATTCATATCACCCAGAAGGTAGAATGGAATGGGGAAGGAGAGAAAAATGAAGTGGCTTGGGAATGTGTTTGCTTTGGCACCCAGCCTTGGTAGTCTCAGCCCCTTCTCAGCCAACTCCACACCAAGGAAAAAACCAGAAACTACTCAATGACCATGTTAGGTTTGAGCCTATTTAAGATCAAACACAGTACAATCAGATAGAATAATATTCTACTTCACACTTACGTGGGAAATTCAATGTCAAGGTTATTTCACAGTGTATGATAATTTGGTATGTAATAATGTCAAAAATCCTCTAAGATCTCAATAAAGAATAACAGTGAATAAAGAATCAGGCACACAGGGCACACGCCTATAATCCTACCTATTCCTTATTTTGGCAGCTGAGATCTGAGCGTTGAGTTTTGGAATCAGCCTGGACAGGAAAATCTGTGAGACTCTTATCTCCACTTAACCACCAAAAGGCTAGAAAGGGAGCTGTAGTTCAAGTAGTAGAGGGATATTATCCGTCAACGTAAAAGCTAAAATACAGCACAGCCCTGAAGTTCAAACCCTAGTACCAGCACAAAAGAAAAAAATGAATACTAAAGGCTCATGAGCATGTCTTAGCTACATAGGTGGGCAAATATTCTAGGCCTATTGACTCCTGTTTGGACTCTACTTCCTTACTGCTTCTCTTTGACCAAACTAGGAAAGGTGGGGAGGAGAAAGGAAATTCTAGTTTAATCGCTGAAGCCAGCTAACACTCCCACAATCGTAGTCTCCACACAAGAAACCAGGCAACCCAAAGAAGTCATTGTGATGACTATTTAATTCACAGCTGTGGACACACAAAGCCACACTGTGAGCAGTTAAACTTTAAACGCATGTCCTCTACGGTCTGCTGGCAAATTTCTATTCAGACAAAGTCTTGTCCTTCCCCTGGTAAAAAACCAGGCAGCCCCAGCCAAAGGCTCTTCCATCTTTGCACCTGTAAGAGTAAATACTAACTGAAGTTTCTAGGCGGAGCTATCAAAGGCAACTTGTAACGTTCCTCATGACAATAGGTACTGAGAAGTTAGAAACTCATTTGACTTTACCCACTGGCTTTCTGTACATTGTCACTTAAGCTACTTACCTTTTCTTTACCCTTGTGTTCCCTTTCTGAGGCACGCGTATATTATTTACATAGAAGCAACTGAACTCCAAAAAAATAGCTAAAAGTCCGTTATTATGTTCTATATGTATTTTCAGGTTTCACTCTTTATTCGCTTACCTTCCCCTCCCTGAAAATGCTAGAAATAAAGCTGCGTGACAATAAATGGCCGAAGACTGTCTGACTTCTTTGACAAGTTGAAATGCTGTTGGATCGAAAATTACTTACAAAACTGGACCAGTGGCTTGGAAACCTTTTTTGAACAACAACAACAAAAGCCTTTATAAAGACACATATCATAGCCATTTCTGGTGGCCCATGTTTGTTATCCTAGCTACTCAAGAGGTTGAGATCTGAGGGTTACAGTTTGAAGCCAGAGCCAGCTAGAAAGACTGTGACACTTTTGTCTCCGATTAACCACCAAACTCCAAAATCGGATCTGTGGCTCAAGTAGTAGAGAGCCAACCTTGAACAACAACAGAAATCTAAGAGAAAATACCCAGGACTGGAATTGAAGTCCCAATACTGGCAAAGAAAGAAAGGAAGAAAGAAAGAAAGAAAGAAAGAAAGAAAGAAAGAAAGAAAGAAAGAAAGAAAGAAAGAAAGAAAGGAAGGAAGGAAGAAGGAAAGAAAGGAAGAAGGAAAGAAAGGAGGGAGAGAAGGAAGGAGAGACAAAGCAATAAAGAGAGAGAAAGAAAAAGAAAGAGAGAAAGAAAGAAAAAAAGAAAGAGGGAAAAAAGGAAGGAAGGAAGGGAGAGAGAAGAAAGAGAGAAGAGGGAAGGAAGGAAAGAAAGAAGGAAGAGAAGGAAAGAGAAGGAGAGAGAAAGAGATAAAGAGAGAGAAAGAAAAAGGGAGAGAAAGAAAGAAAGAAAAGGGAAAAAGGGAAGGAAAGAAGGAAGAAAGAAAGGAAGGAAGGGCAGGAAGAAAGGAAGGGAAGGTACAAAGGAAGGAAGATGCATACTATAGTTGATGTGGACAGTAGCATTAGGCCTTACCATCTTCATCCCATCCCATTTTATAGATAGGAAAGCTAAAGAAACTGACTTGCCCAGGGCTTATTTTTATCCGTAACTGAAGTAACAGCCCCATATACTTTAAATCTCTAATATTTAATATTAAATTACCAGAAGAACATGCTTCAGCTGTTTGCTGTGATCGAAAGCATGTGTTGCCAGGGGCTCTATTCAGTGCCAGGAAGAAATATCCATGGTAGGTATGTGAACTGACATATCTACATGATATTTCCCAGATGACCGACTCTGTCTCTTCCCCATAAACACACATAACAACACATGTAAACAAGCCATTTTTAAAGAAAGAGTCTATTAGTTAAGTTTAGATCTTCGCTGTGAACGATCCTTTCACTCCTCCTCTGTATGGTATAGATCAATTGTGACACACAGAACCTCTTCTGGCTCCCTGGAACCCCCAAATGCAACCTTCACAGCTGCTCTCCCCTGCCTGAAATCTTGACATATTAGGAAACTGGCAAGGAGTGGGCAAGACCTTAATGCCTCCCTTAACATTTTTGAAGTACCTCACAATGTTGTCAAAGTATCAGCTTAACTTTCATTGGAAGTTTAAGCTAAGAAAGGATTAAGGCAGGCAGCTAATTATGACAGAAGCAAAGGCCAGACAACAGCATCTAGTTATTGACAATCAGATACAACAGAGGTGCATGTAACAAATCTCTTCCAGAACTCAGGACTTTTCCCTCTATCTTTTAGATACTTTCACTTCCAAAACCACTCCTTTCTGAGGGGGGGGGGAGAAATGGCAGGGGAAGCAGATTGATTCCCACTCAGACTATAGAAGTCCTATGGAGTTGATTCCATCTGCTTAGCACCATAATTTGGGTCTATGATACAATGAAGTTTCTTTTTCTCTCTTCAAGGCAACATTATGAACTAAACATACTCAAGTCATGTCTGGTGTTGGGATGTTTTCCTTCTTCTAGGCTCTTTGGTACCAAAAGGGCTAAACTTGAAACACGGATCTAATTAGGAACCTGCATGAATACCAGAATAAAAAAGTATAATTTCAGTTCTTTCCCTACCGCCTCATCATCAACCCCACAACGACCCAAGGGAGCTTGGGATGGCAACTTTTATTTGAAAAGGAACTGGAAGGCCAGCCCGTTAGACAGCCCACTCAGCTTTAACTGCGCTCCCCCACCCTTCGCCCCGGCCCCGTCCCTCCCATCAGTTCCAAATCTAGAAGCTGCAGAAAGCAAGACATGAAGTTTAAGTGTCAGGTCCTCTTGCTATGATTAAGAAATGGGGGCATCGGAAAGAAGAGATTTTAAAAGGAGGAAGAGGGGAAAAAATGGGGATGCTAGACATTCTATAAGCTGTTTCCCACCACTCAGCAAAACGCAGCTGTGAAAATAAAATAACTATGCCCCAAACCAAGGGTCCTGGGCCACCAACAGCCCTCCTTGTGGCCTCTCCCTCTCTCCCTCCCTCCCTCTGCCACCAGCATCCCTGGGAGAAATAAACTGCCTGGAAAGCGAGCGGTGGAGGGAAAGTGAGGGGACCCCTGGAACTGGGGTGGGGAGGGGAGGGGGGTAATGGGGGGGGAGCACTTGGCAATCACCACTCACCCGGGGAAGGGAAAAGGTCCAGATCGACTTTTTCCGTCTTGATGATGGTAAGAGTCGGTTTGAGATCGACGGCCGCCTTCATGATCCGGGACGAGTTAGGGGCCAGGCGGGGTGAGCGCAAGTTTGGCGGTTACAGTTGTCGCGGTGGTGGTGGTGGTGGTGCTTTTTAATGGGGAGGTGGAAGGGGGGGAAGGATTCTTAACCAGAGAACAGGGACGGGACGGGGACGGGGAGGCGATGCCGACTTTCTTCCGTAAAACCCCCGGCTGTCCCGCGGACTGTGCACGCACCGGGCCGGGGCCGTGCGCGCCCGGGCTGTCTCCCGGGAGGCTGACACTTTCCGCGGTCTCCGCTGGCTGGCTGGCTCGCTCGCTCCCGGGCGTCCCTCGCCCCCTCGCCCGCCTCTCGCCCGCTCGCTCGCTCCCTCGGCCAGCGCCGGCTGCGGCTCGCTCTACCCCAGCTCCCTCGCTCCCCGGGTCCCCGTTCTCCCTCCCTCCCCGCGCCCGGGCGCTCTCCCCTCCTCTTTAGGGCGTTCCTCCAGTGTGCCCGGGGGGAGGACCCCCCCCCCCAGCCCGTCCGCGCGCTCGGCTCTCCGGGGGCGGTGGGCGTGGCCAGGGGGCGTGGCCTTCCCGAGTGCCCGCGGCCAATCACCGCCCGCAGCCCAAAGCGAAAGGAAGGGCGGGGCGCGCCTGGCCTCCCCGCAGCTGGGCTCCGGAGTGTTGGGGGGGGAACCCCACCGAGCCCACCCTCCCCCCCGCGGCAGACCCGCCCGGAGGGAAGGACCCTGCACCCCGCGCCCGGGCCGCTTCCACTAAGACAGATTCGGGAAAGTCCGTTCGGATTCTCCACGCATTCTTGAGGGCTTGGTCACCCGCCGCGCCCCCTCCTCCCAGTAGCAGAATAGTTTTCCCAGTGCGTGTGCATCATTCATTCATTCACAAGGACTGACACACAGGACGTGAGGCACGGGCACCCAGGGGCGTGCGGGGCGGGGGGGGGGCACGGGCCGACGTCCTCCGAGGGTTTCCGAGTGTCCGGGCGGTGGTGGTGGTTCAGGAACCAGCCTCCCAACCCTCGCCAAGGTTTAGCCGAGGCGGAGGCAGCATTGGTGGATGGTTGCCTTTGATTGTAACCCGGCTGAGGCTGCCGACGGGAGACCCCCTACATACTGTAGACCCCCTACATGTAGACCCAAATGCCCCTTGGATTGACGGGGGGGGGGAGGCGGGGGGTGGAGGGGAGGGGAGTCCAGAGTAAGGAGTCCACATTTGAAGCCTCATCACAGACTTCCATAAGGTTCTATGGCGAGTTTCTCGTTATCTGTACCTCTAATTATGTGATCATAGGCTGAGGCTTTGTCTTGCAGGATAACTATTAGATAAAGCTAATAAACCTCCTGCCACCGCCTCAAATTGCACCCCTCCCCGGCCAGGTCAGCCCAGCGCTCTGCTGTGAATCTCCGAAGCCCTTAACCGGAAGGCAAGGAAAGGGGGAGGTGGGGGGGAGGACACATTTAGGGACTCCCAACACTTCAGATAACTCAAAATGAATCCCAGTAATGCCCGCATTGCCACTGATACATTGATTATACCCGGAGACAATTGATCTCAACCAACAAATCAACCAGTGCATAGATCCATACCTGTATACAACCACTGAGACCTGAGTTAGATTTTAAAAGATAAAAAATAAATCTTCCTGAACAACCTCAAAGAAAGCTATTTTTAATACTGCTTCCTGCTTTCTGCTACCAGTTGCTTCCAACTGTAGCCCCTGCCTCTGGCAAATTTTAATACACCTGCTTACCTTTATCTAAGCCCAGTTTCCTCTCCTCTGAGCATTAGCCACTTGCAAGTTTCTCACAGCAAATCAGGGAAGGAGTCAAGAATAAATGTAAATCTCAGGATTTGGGTCCAACCTCCAGATTACACCCGGTTAGTTTTTGGTCAGAGACCAGAGAAAAAATATGTATATGTGACAATCTTAAGTTTTTGAAGGAACAAAGACTATTGGGGTCCAGCTGTGTTTCCAGAAGGTATGAGAAAACAATACTGGCCTCCAGATGACAAGAACAGACACTTTGGGTCCTGGGAAAAGCTTAGGGAAACAGCTGATAAATGAATTGTACATTCACACATCCAAGTAAGCTACAGAGTAAAAGGGTCTTGAACTGGGGCCTGTCTTGTTCACAATGACATTGATGGAGAACTGGCTAAGTCAACGGTTGCTTTGGGGAAATTTTTGTTGTTGATGATGATGTCTCATGAAAAATACTGAAATATTTTATTCCGCGTGTAAAAACTTCTCTATTGGAAAATACAGCTCGCTTGGAATCACTTGTTTCTCTCTAGCCAGGTCTGCTCTTCCATTTTCTTTTCTAACCTAAACACTAAAATTCACATGAGACACTAAAACAGCCCACCATAATTCAACTGTAAACACTTTCCACTCAAGCAAGACAGAGCGAGAGAAATAGATGGGACACTTGTAATCTTTCAACAATGACAAAATCAGCCAGCCAATCATCCTATTTTCTAACTCAGTCCTGAAGTTCAGAAGCTCAAAATGTTTGAATGCTCATAGCAGGAATTTGGTGGATGGAAGAGAGCGATCAGAGCAGAAACAGAACTGCAGAAACAGAACTGCTGAGGAGATTTGTAGGGACCCCACAGACTTCTATGTGATACTCATTACAATGTTCATACTATCAAGTTACACCTTGGATCTTGTTGAAACATAGGATGAAAGAACTAAGGAGGCAAAATTAAAATATTTTACATATTTGAGACATTAATAATGCAGGTCTGTCATACTTGATTCATCATTTTTTGATAAATGCATTTCTTTATTCTGATTAAGACTCACATAGGTTTCTCTACAAGTTCTTAGGAACTTCAAATGACATTTCTATCTGACATCTTAAAAGAAGTGCCTTGCTGAATGCCTAAGACCTTTGCAGATGTTCATTAAGTGTGTCAAATGAAGGTCTATCAGCTTTTTGGTGACTCAGGTACTGTACAGGGGATGGGGGGGTGACTTATCTTTGATTTTGCTTAATGTGCTCTTCTGTTACTATTGCATTGGGGACAAAAACTGATTTGAATTTTCAAACATTCCTTAGACTTCAATTACATCCTACCAAGTGCTGGAACTTCTTTGACTAAGACATTAAGCTCCATTCCTGCTCCACATCAAGTCTAAAAAGGGTTACAGGGTTTGGGGGATAGACCATGAGCTAGGCAAGTAAAATAAGAAGAAAATGGTCACTATTTTACAGGAATTCTTCCAGCACATGAAAAATGTAAAAAGAAAAAAATTGCAAATTTTGTTCCTCTATTTTCCTCCCCTCAATTCTACTCAAACTCAACAAAACTAAAAAGGTTAAAAATATACTTCATTTCAAGCAATCATAAAAAGAAATTGTGTTTGCTCCTCAATCTTGAACTCCAACAGAACAAAATAAAACAAATCTCTGAGTTTTGAGCTAGAATATGCTGTACTGAAGGTAGGTAGGAAAACATTCAGACCACTAACGGCTGATCCAGAGTGAGTTTATGACTCACAGATGTTGATTTACTGGTATAAATGTAAGATTTTTTTTTTATGACAGAACTCTCAAGCTCTCGATTTGCAACCTGTTTAAGCTGCATTTGTGGTCTGTTTTTTTTGCTGTTGCTGTTTGTGGGGCTTTTTTTGTTTTTGTTTTTTATGGTTTTTTGGGTTTTTTTCTTTTTTTTTTTTGTCCTGAGAAGGTAGAAATCTCTATCATACTCAAAAAGGAAGCTTCACACACTTAAGCTGTTTGTATCTGTTAAGTTTAGAGAAAAGCATGTTGGGTAAGAAAGGTGCCTGAGGCTATCTACCTATAATGTCTATCTTTATCAAACAGCAAAAAAATGGAAAAATCAGAGCTAGAAAATAAAAGTTAAAATAACTTTATTAATGAAACTCAAATTCCAAAAGGCCTTAGGTCAGCCTGAGAACCCAGGTCATGGACTGAGAAGATGGTATTGCTGACTGCAGGCTGCCTCAGTGACCTCACCCAAACCACTTAACCTTTTGGTGTCACAACCTCATCTTGCTTCAGGGAATAAAACCACCCTGGCTCTCCACAGCCTGTAACAGACGCATTAGCTATTGTTTAGAAGATACAATAAACAATAAGGGATAACAGAGCCACAGTTGGGGGGGGGTAAGGAGGGGGAGAAGACTTGGTGGTCTATTTGTTCTGGAAAACTCTTTATAATAAAATAGATCTATGGTAGTGAACACTGTGGGCTCTAGAATAAGATTCAGGCTCCAATTCTAGCTGTACTAATTAATTGGCTGAATTAGCACAGTATGTCACTTAAACAATTCTGAAACTCAGTTCCTCCACATATGAGAAGGGAAAATAATAGCATCTTTGTGTGTGTGTGTGTGTGTGTGTGATACTGGGGCTTGAACTCAAGGTACTGCAGCCTTGGCTTTTTGCTCAAAAGCCAACACTAACACTTGAGCCATAGCCCAACTTCCGCCTTTTTGACTGGTTAACTAGAGATAAAAGTCTCTTGAATTCATCTGCCTGTGCTTCCTTTGAACTGTAATCCTCAGATCTCAGCCTCCTGAGTAGCTAGGATTACAGGTGTGAGCCACCAGCACCTCACATCACCCACTTTCTAAGACTCTTGACAAGATGAAATGAAATCATACTCACAAAGCATTTAGCACCATGTCTACACCAGAAAAACTTCAACTAAGTCTTTATTACTGGTTTTAAGATCAGGTAAAATATGTGAGAATTCACCAGAAATCTTTCTCTTAGCTAGGATCCCTTTTTTACCCCATGGTGCTTGAACTCAGGGCTTGGGCACTGTCCCTGAGCTCTTTTGCTCAAGGCTAGCACTCTACCACTTTGAGCCACAGCTCCACTTCCAGTTTTTTTTTGTGTGTGGTTAATTGGAGATAAAAGTTCCCTGGACTTTCCTGCCTGGGCTAACTTTGAACCACCATCCTTAGATCCCAGCCTCCTTACTAGCTAGTTGTGAGCCACCAGCATCTGGCTCTCAATTTAAAAATAAAAAACAAAACAAAATCCCTGCTGTTTAAGGTCACAGTTACTGATGACTTTCTGGAGGAAAAAAATGTAGACCTTTGTCATCACAGTGTCAAACTGTGTAGAAGGCTATTGGTGATGGACAAGCATAGCCCTTCAAATGTACCAAAGAGAATAACTGAGTCTAAATGAGAGCAAATCACTCTGGCCCAAGGCCACACAACTGAACAAGGCTGCAAGGCAGTGTCAGGACCCCTTGACTACTGTCTGTTCAGAAGAGAAGTCAAGGATGCCTGGCTTAGTCCACTCCAATCACCCTTGCGACACAGAACAGGATCAGATGTATACAGGAGCATGTTAATGCTCAGACTCAGTTTCCAGAAATCACACCCCATTCTGTACACCAGAT